AAGCCCCAGCTTTGGAAGAACCTCATTCTCAGGAACCCTGGCTGTAGCCAGCCCAGGCAACATGGAGTATGCCCAGTGTGGATCCTCAAGTTCTAGACACCACAGACCCTGCCTGAAGCCCCAGCTTTGGAAGAACCTCATTCTCAGGAACCCTGGCTGTAGCCAGCCCAGGCAACGTGGAGTATGCCCAGTGTGGATCCTCAAGTTCTAGACACCACAGACCCTGCCCAGTGCAGCCTCAGGACACACACAAGCCACTTTGGGAAATTTATTGAGGTTTTAACATCGGGGTAGGGGAGGTGGCACACATGTGTTCTTACTGTGTGCACACGCAGTGAAGGGCTTCTCCCACAGGCAAGCACGTATCCACTGTCCACGCACATCCTGTCCCCAATGAGGAGTGGTGGCCACTGGGGCTTGGTGATCTCTGAGCTGGCTATGCCCCCTGCTTCTCCATGGAGCTTGGCAGACTTGGCAAGGACAAGGGAAACCCTCCCCAGCACCCCCACACCCCAAGCAGAAACCCCAGGGTGCCAGGGCTTCCCACTGCACAGGAGCAGGAATCCACTGCAACTGCTGACTCCCGTCTTCAAGGCTGGCGCGTCTCACTGCCATCACGGCTCTGTCTTCACCGCCTGGGGCAGAAGCTGCTACCTCCAGGAGTTCTGCCTCATGGGACCAACTTCAGGGCTCAGGCTGGGCACGAGAACAGGACTTCGGGGGGGTCCTGGGAGGGGATCCTCTCTGGCTGCAGGCAGAAGGTCCTGTGGAGAGAGCAGGTCAGCTTGGAGCTGGGCTGTGCCCCCACCATCTTGGCTTCCCCCAGAACCACTCTGACCTGTGTGAGAAGGGGGGCCCTGTCTGGCCGTGGGGGTGGCGGTAGTGCAGCCCCCGTCTGCTGGATGAACTGCTGCAGGTTGCACTGACGGAGCTCCCGGTTCAGCTCCTCGAGCTCCTGAGCCTGGGCCTGGGGGCACACAGGACCCTCAGGGGGGCACAGCCATGGGGCTTCATGGCCCTCATGATGCACACAGAGTGCTCTCTCTAGTCTGCCCATGTGTCAGGGAAGGGAAGGTGGCAGGGGCTCTGGTCACCTGGGCTCACCTGCAGGGCATGCTCGGCAGCCTCCAGAGCCCGGCTCACCAGGGCCAGGCTGCCCTGCACCTCTGCACTCTGCCGCTCCTGGACAGCCAGGTCCTGGCGCAGGCGCTCAGCAGCAGATGCTGTTGGTGAGGGGGGACCAGGGGCCTCTGCAGCCAGCCGCAGCTCAGCCTCCAAGGCATGGGCCTGGGCGTCCAGGGCCTGCAGCCGGGCTGCATGCTCAGCAGTGGCCGCACTTAGCGCCTGCAGGCGTGCCTGCCCCTCTCGCTCCCGAGCTTGCTCACGCCGCAGCTCCTGCTCCCAGAAGGCCTCGTGGCCCAGCTCCTCAGCATTCCTCTGTACCCTGAGCTCCAGGCCCTGCAGGTCTGTGCAGCAGCCTGGTGTGGGTGCTACAGGGGCTGTAGGCTCAGGGGGTGAGGGGCTGGGGGCCAGCCCGGGGCACCTCAGGCTGAAGGTCTGTGTTTTGCGGGGCTCACGGCCTGTCGCTACCCGTGGTTTTGGGGGGAGGCTGGCACGGACTGAACAGCGCTCTGGAGGTAGGCAGCTGTCCGAGGAGGGCCTCCCAGCCAGGCTGGGCCCTGTCCGCCTCAGGACAAACTGGACATCGCTGGCAAATTGTCCGCAGGTGGCCTGGGCGCCCACTGGACACTCCTGTGGCAGCAGCTGCCGTTCCTTCTCCCTAAGACGCTGCACGAGCACAAAGCGGCCAGTCTGGCCTGAGGAGGAGGGGAGAGGGATCAGCCCATGTCCCCACTCTGCCCACCTGGCTTGAGGAGTTGGTGGGGACAAGATGGATCAGTAATCAGCTCCACCCTCCTTGTAGGGGAAAATGGGGCTGGACAATTAGGTCCCAGCCCAGCTCTACCTGTTGGGCCTGTCTGTCCCCCAGGGGACTCACCTATTGCTTGGGCTAGTGCAATGACCACTTCCTGGCAGGTGGTCTGCTCCGAGACCCCACAGACCACACGCTGGATGCCATCCACCCAGACCTTCAGCTCCATGGCCGCCAGTCCCGAGAGCATCACTGTCCTGGGGGGAGGGCACAGGCCAAAGGGTCAGGCCCTACCTGGCCTCCTGGCCTGCCCTCGGAACCGGTCCAGGGCTGCGGGCCCCTCAGGGGCGACCCTGCCCTCCCGTGCCCAGCCCTCCTCTCAGGCCGCACGCTCCCGGCGTGGCCAGGGGACCTGCTCCAGCCCTCAGGAGCGCTTTGAAGCCTCCCCACTCCACCGGCCTCCCCCTGCTCCGCCCCGCTCCCGGAACAAGGAGAATCATTAACCAGACCCAGGATTTCCCGGGCCCGTCACCTGGCTCGCAGGAGCCCGCGCGCACGCCACCCTCCGCCGCCGCGGGGACGGCCGCACCGGGTCCGGAGAGCCGGAGGGTCGCGACCCGGACCCCGCCCCTCTGCGCCGACCGACCGGGCCTGAGCCGCCCCCGCCCGCCCGGGCAGCCCTTCCCCGCT